ACTCTTCAGATGAGTGGAGGAATAACAAAGCGAAGGCTGCCACTCATACATCTAATCAATCTACCCCATTCTTCTTTACGAACGACGGAAGAAAATCGACAATCGCAATCGCCAGGCGCGATAAAGCCTTGCGGACGTCATTCAATATGGCGCGAGGTCGCTGGGAAGTTGCATTGAGAAATTTCAATTCGTAAGGTCGATCGAGCTGGCTTGATCCATTGATCCCAGAAATATCATCGGGGTTACGCAACGTTGAATAAGCGAAGAGTCGACCGGATGTCGATAACGTTTCAATTTGTCGATGTCGGAGCCGACGCTCGTCGCGTCGCTAGATGAGTCTGTTGTACGTTTACATCAGAGACTGAGAGGATATAACAGTATTTAGTAAGAATACAATTATGCAATATTCTCAGTAATAATTTCACGCTCTCTCCCATTCTAGTTGAGTTTCGACTTAATTTATAATGATCAAAATATATGGATACACGGGGGTATATTATAAAAAGCTGATATTTCAAATAAAATCGTATAAACAATAAAGCTCGTTTGCTCTCACGAAACTTGTAACTCCAGCAGTAAGTATTAAATTAAAGCGGGGCTTCTTTTTCTCTCAGAGTTTCGTATTTTGGAGTTACGAAATATGAAGATTAATTAAGCCGACGATATGGAAGCGTTCTTCCGAGAGGCGGCCATTCAGAATAATATCGTGACGCGATTTTGCGATCCGCTGGGAGAAATGATAAAATCCGCCGGCAAATGATAAAAGCGAGCCACATCCCGACGTTGCGGGGAAAGGGCGATCGACAAGACCGATTCGAAAGTGCTTTGCGAGCCGCGTGCTGGCCCGGCTAATTAAGTACGCCGTAAGTTAATTGAGGTGCTGCGCGTAGGAGCAAAGCCGAAGATACGAGGGAAACGTTAAACTGTGTAAACATCGAGCTAATTACTTCGAGACTTTATCGCGCTACTCCACCACCACTCCGCCAAGCTTGGCGAACGAGCTGAGCGGATATAAGTGTGCGTGTTAAAAGTGGGGGAAAAGTGCGGATCGTAGGGGATGAGAAGGAGAAAGGAGGATGGGTGGGAGGGAGAGAGGATGTTTCATGTCAGAGGACGGTAAAGAAGAGAGCTGGTTTTTATCAATGGAAACTTAATGGACTAAAAATTTGAGATGAGACTGACGGCATCGAAAATCCATTGTGAATGGCCGATTTTTAATGCGTTGTGTTAACGATAAATTTATATAGCACCTTGAAGAAAGAAATATCATATGGAATGGAATGAATTATTTACAGAGCGTTTATGTTTTCCGCGCGATTTAATGGACATACACACACATATCCACACACATTTGGAATCTTCATTAAAAAGTTGCTTACCAAAATATTTTTTTATTTCAGTTAGATATAATAAAAAGTTTATATCTTGGTGGATCTCGATAATAATATCTAAGTCTCTAATCTAATTACGCCGACTATATCCTTCTGAAAATATACCTTGCATATATATACGCTTTTTACTCTCTTTATGTGCATACACAGAGAGAACGATTTATTGAATCAAATAAATGTTTCTTTGGAATAGTCCAAACAAATTATTTGGTTGATACAACAAAAATATTACATACAACTAAGCCGCAAATAAATATTTTTGTTGCTTTAAACAAAATTTTGTTCGATCAATCGAAAAATTCGTTTGAACTATTCCAAAGAAGCGTTTATTTGATTCAACCAAATCGTTCTCTTTGTGTACCTTCTGGCACCTTTCACATGTATTTTTTTATCATATATCGGTTTACATTCTTTGCCCACGAAAAAAAATTTGTGTGGGCCCTGTTCGCTATGAGAAACTCTTGCGACACAGAGTTAAACAATGCAAACGAGAGGGGTAGAAAGGAACGAAAAGACAGAGTTTGAGGGTGGTCTCAGCGTGGCGATAGTAACTGCTACTCGCGGAAAGTGAGGAGACCCAGTTAATTACTAAAGCGTTTTAATCGCTGGCAAAGTTCCGTCTGGGCCGGAAGGTGCTTCGAGGATGCGGCGGCTGTGTAAATTAGGAACTCGCCAGTTTCCTCTTCGCACTCCTTCCCGCGTCCGCATTATGTACGCTCGGTCTCTCGAGACGAGCGTCAGCATAATTTCCACCAAAAGTCGACTTTTAGGTAATAATTCCGCTCCTGCGAATCAACCTCCTTCAGTCATCCTTGAAAATTATTTGCGCTGACTGGCTGATACTGTGAATGATCCTCTCTTTCTCATCTCTACACCTAACCCTAAATTTAATGTCTTAATGTAGAAAACGAATTCAATTAATTATACTTATTATAAAATGTGAAGTGTAAATGCACAGTCTTTGTTAAATACTGGAATTATTATATTACATTGTTAACATATTATTACGAAACTTGCAGAACGAACTCACCACGCTGTTATTAGAGTTTTTAAAAAAGTGTGAGACATCTCAAATTGCACGGTATCTAACCAGTAATCTTTCCTATCTCCTCATTCTAATTTAACTCCTATCGTTGCGTCTTTTTTTCCAAAGACTTTTATTTAACTCGATATTAAATGCCCCTCTCTTTCTCACCTTTTCACCAACCCCTCCTCTTCTCTCTCCGGTTCCTGGCGCATATTTAGGGGTCGCTGGTTACAGGTTGCCTCGGCAACCACATCGAGAAACCCTCTATCGTTGCCAAGGCAACCTTCTCCTTCGTCTTCTCACCCTCTTCTCCCTCCCGGAGATTCAATTCGAGAGAGCGAGAGCGAATCTCGAGGCTGGAAGGGGGTAGGGATGCTGATTTCTGGCGGGTAAGGGAAGGGCGGGAGGAGAACCAAGGAAGAGGAGGAAAAAAGAACATGGTGCGCCTCTGGTGATTGTATTTGATGGCGTGAGTGAGGATGTACCAAATGAGGATTTGACCTTGATTAAAGGTGATATCTCTTCTCTTTCTCTCTCATCCCCTCGCTCCATCTGGCTTTATTTTCTTTATCAACAATTAAATAAAGTACAATCATAAAAACATATGATGTAAAATTAGAGTCGAGCAACTTTGGAAAATTTCGCAAATATAATATTTGGTCCTCTTTATTATCACCTCCTGGAAATATAAGTTTAGGTTAGTTTCGAAATTAGACAGCTCACTCGTCGATTCGAAAAGCATCGCAGGACTTAATCGCGCGGATCCATGTGCGGGTTTCGTATTCGCAGCTGAGCCGGGCGAAGAACTTATTCATAAGATTATTCGCCATTTTCGTCATGGCGCTCTTCCTGTATCGTTATTTAAGTTTTATATTAAAGTACGGTCCGGAGCCTCTAGGTATTTGATGTATGGCCTGCGCGTGTTCTGGTTCCTTCACCAAGACGCACCTAAACGTGAGATATCGTACCCGATCAATTTTTCATGGCTCCACTTCACCCCTTTCAGCCCCTCTCGTTTCCTTTTACCTCGCTAAGATCACTGAGCTCGCTGTTACTCGAGAAACGCGATCGTTACATAATAATCGATTAATTACTCGTATAATAAAAGAATTATCACTAAAATATCTCTAACATTCTTAATGTTTCGTTGAGTTTCGTGGGATATTCGATAGTTTAACTAATAACCATGAAATACACAAGACACTGCAATGGAAGGCAAGAGACTGTTTAGTCAATTCAGTATAAACTGCCAAAATTTGGGGAATGCAGGATTAAATTTCGATGTGAAACACGAAATCTATTCCCTCAGTGTTATTTTGGAAACAATAGCCGGAGACGATGGATGAGTGCAGTTCTCCCGGTTCTGGTCGGCGAGCGAGCGCATCGTGTGCTAAATAACTTCGCTAACAAGCTGCCGCCGCCACTGTGCAAAAAAAGATTACGTAAGCGGTAATGGCCGCCGGCTCCTCCTAAATTCGAGAACGAAGTGTTCCGGTCGAGCGCGCAATCCGAGAAAGGGGTAGAGGAAGTGAGCGAGCGCACGACTCAGCTGGTGGTGGGGGTTAATTTTAATTTCCCAATTTTTCCTACACTGAGGTAGCGTAGGTAATTTCCTCCCCAGCAGAGAATAGATGTAATTACTTAACGCCTCCGAGCTCCTCTTATTAAAAGAGGATCGCGCCCTCGGGGGCTGGAGGGGTGGAAGAAGCTCGGGGTGGGTGTTGCCGTAGGAGTGGTGGTACGCGATCATGGGGATACCTCTTCCTCACGAACTCGTCCTTTCACGCTCAAAATCGAAAGAGGGTTTCTCCCTATTTCACTAATTTTATCAATGAGATACCCCATATAAATCACCCATTTAGACAATTGAGGGTTGGACATATAAGGTATTTTTTAATTTATTAATTTGTTAAAAGTATTTTAAATTTATACATCCATTAAAGGCCCAATTATTTTTTTATTATTTATGATCACTCTATCAAGTCTTGTATTTCTGCCGCGCATTTAACGTTTTATAGACGTACGACTATCTAATACTTGTCTGATATTATGAGAACAAATGTAATCTTTAAATTAGACAAATGAAACGAATTATCGCACTTATGGGCCAAAGATTTAAATTTGAAAACTCTTCATATTTGACAAAAAAAAAGAAAAAATGAAAAAGAATAAACGGGTGAGACAACAATGCTGGGGCAATAAACAACCACATGACTCACTGATATATACTTTGTCTGTCCATTACAACGAACCTAACTCGGATCGAATTCGAGTGCCTCGACCGATGAGATCGGCGAAGGGTGTCTCGCAGCGGCTGTGGGAAGGGAGGAGCCATCTTGCGGCCTGTTTCAAGGCAGCCACCAATTGATTCGCCCCCACCAGGTGCTACGGCCAGGCGTCGATTCAATTCCAGGACGAAAAAAGCGCCCGGTGGGCGTAGCCACCCGTATAATTCCTGCGACTACATTGGCTTAAAATTCTGCATCACCCACAATTCCACCGCGCGTTCAGCCAATCGGAAGTCTCTGGGCGGGTCTTGATACCAGTTTCAGTTTCGCGGACAGAGGGGAGTCGTTGACTCGAGTCTCTGGGCAGATAGTGCTGTGCCGTTGGCTCGTGCCGTCGTGGTTCTGATACTGGCAGGTCCTTGCCATCAAGGAACTCTCGGAGACCCGACTGTCACGCGCACGAACCCGCAGGCCGAGGAGCCGGATGTTTCCGGTGACGTGACGACGGCCGAGGAAGTGTCGCGAACGCGTGCGGTTCAGTGATTCGATCACAGACATGCTTTTTCCGGACTGCATTGAAAATACTTTGCTATCGTGGGCCGTGGGACCTCAAGTGACGCTAGATTGGGGACTGTGAAGAACTTTTAGCCAAGCATTGTTATCAAAAGATAAAGATTATCCAGCTTCAATCAACAATTTTTGGAAATGGACTAATTATCTTCGCAAATGTTAGTGAATTTGACACTGTGGATTGTTGATCGTGAACATATGATCAACATACTGTTTTCTGATTTGCAATATCAATTGAACTTATCTAGGAAGATTATTTAAAGTTCCCAAGGACGGCGTGAATTTAGCCGACGGCTGGCGAAATACCATGAGTCACCTACTTGATAAGCAGCCTGTGAAATAAAGATTATAAAATATGTGAAGCATAATTACTCTGGGCGGCGGGATTGATTTATATATCCCGAAAATGTTCAACAACAACACGAATATGTAAGTCATAATCATCGGAAGCAACAATTAATCTTGGACTATGTTCGACTTGTAAGATAATCCAAGAAGACTGACAACTGAAATGGATTGGTGTCATGATCTAGAAAATTTAAGACGGAAGATGTAAATATTGGTTCAAAGCAGCAAGGCCAGAATTCCCACAAATGCCTTAACGATCTCCACGGACAAATAACTTATGGCCAGTGATGATCCACGGAGTGCGTTGTTTAGTGATCGTGCTCCAGTAAACAAAATGGAAGATATAAACATTGTGTGTTGATCTCAGACGCCTAACGACGCCACAAATATCTTCCAGCACTTCCCACTCTCGACAGACCACATGATTCCAACATACCGTTGATAAGGTGACCTCTTTCTTCCCTGGTGATTGAGTTTCGTTGAGCCCACAGATTGATGCAAGAGGACTGATCGCTCTCCAAAGGAGAGACAAGCGCCGGCGAGTTGGTACCGAACATGGTGTTGGAGCCCGGAGGCGGTCTGTCCTTTCCGCTGCCTCCTGGCAGCGGCTCCAGCGCCTCCGGAGGATCCTTGCTGGCCCCGACCAGGTTGTTTCAAAGGACGACGCCCGTGTTTCCATTCCATTTGACAGGATGGCCGCCACATCACCCGGTTCTGGGGCAGGTGCAAAGTCAAGTCCAACAGAGTATGCAGGCCCAGCATCAAGCCGCTGCAGCTGCTGTTAGGTTCCTCAGTCATCATCACCCGCATCATCCGCATCCGGCACTGAGCAATCATTCTCTAGTACCGTCGATCACTGGACATCACCCCACTGCGCATCATTTACATCACGCTGCTGATCATGGAGAGGAGGATGACGAAAAGAAGGGTAAGTAGATAACATTTGCGGATTGCACAATATTGATATGATTAGAATTGTTGTATGTATCACGAATCAATTTTCCTTCTGAAACTTAATGAAATTGGCGTCAAATTGTGGTATAACACCTTCATCAGTAATATCGTGAATTTCTTTTTTAAATAATACAAGTATCGCAAATTCGTCAGGTATTTTTCAGATAGAAGTCCCCTTTAGACGAATTCTGGACTTCGTATTGTTTGGATTTCATTCGTGTCGAACAGTTAAAAAAAGTATAGAATGTCCTTTTGTCATTTCTAAATTTCTGTGGCCCGAGAATTTTTGTGTTTACGATACTGATATAAATGAAGCACAAATCTTCTGCTCTTCGATGATTAATACTGACTTAGTACACTGCTGAGATAAGATATTTTCTGTGATTGCGCGTTGAAGCTCGTTTATTGCGGCAGCCATTCCGAAATAGCTTTTGAAAAACGGTCTTCAGGGAGTGGCGTAACACGGTCAATCATAAGATCGTTCCTGACGAACCCCTGGGATCGCTTACGACGTTAGTCCCTATCCCATTTTCCCGCCCTTCCCGGCGGCCGCCCGTCTGAAATCGTATTTCGTGCGCGAGAACGTCCGCGTTACCGAGGGTGGAAATCTGTTTTTTACGTGATCTCATTCACGTCCCTAACACTTGTTTATGCCTCGAAGGGAGCGCCACTTAATTCGTCTGCTTTTGGCTTTCGATTGTTTCCGTTCTGCAAATTAATCGTGCGATATCGCTGATTTGCATAAATTGCTGGCTAACCCCGAGTGAGAGTCAAGATCTATCGCTAATAATCGAGTACTTAAAATCAACATTTACATTCACAGTGTACCAAAAATTTTCATTCAACATAATACAGATGAACTTTGAGTAAAATTGATACCTTCATGGAAATCTAAAATTTAAAGATCTAGGATAATCTATAGATTTGTATATCTTTATACTATATTATTGACAAATGAATTACAGTTTTTATTTATTCAAATCGAGAAATTTTTTCATCGTCCATTGTCGTTTTCATTTAAGAACATTAAAGTTCTTCTGTAATAACATATCGCATTGGATAATACGTAGCGATTTTGTCGGTTCCGTCAAAATGCGTTGCGATTAGATTCTTTATAATTACATAATGATTTCCACGCCGAATAATAAGTATTTTGTTCGTGAATGTCAGCTGAACACGCGAAGGCGTATTGAATGGGCTCGCTGACTATCTCAGCATTTGTGAGAACACACACACACACACAGTACAGATTTCAATATCTGAATGATTCAAGTTCTTTGAAAAATTCTTCAAATAAAAACAATTCAATTGTCATGGCTCTTATATAAATAATCAAGAAAGAATCAAAGAAACTGATAAAAGCCAACGTAAGATATTAATTGTTAAATTCTCAATTTGTGAAGTACTTGTTTCAAAACAATAACGTCTAGGAGTATCTCTTTGTCCTCCGCTTGAAAGAATCGATTTTAAAAGGAGCAAAATGGATTTGCTTCTCGATGAGAACCGAGCCAAGTGTCAAATCAACGTAAATGCGATATGAGAAACTATAATTGTCCACCATGTTCCACTTCAGGCCAAGTTGCATCCTTCTTAACAGAAAGCATTGTATTCTGCAAGCCAACAATTAATTACACCGATTCTTAATTAATCGTTCACGGTGCGTTGCGACTTTATTCCAATTAATATCGTCCAGCGATACGCCCCCACCGCGTTCTGTCTCTCTCTCTCTCTCTCTCTCTCTCTGCCTCTCCCCCTCTTGCTTTGCGAGACTCCCGTTTACATAATTAGCTCGGCAGTGGAATGCTCGGCAGACTCGCGTGCGTATGCCTTTACACGATCGTTAAACTTTTTCAACGTTAGCACGATCGTTAAGCCAGCGCTTAGCGTCGCCGCGAAATCGCGTCCCGTCGGCGCTCGCGGCGGCTCCCAACTCACAAAGCCGCCATGCTGGGCAATCTCGTAGTCGTGAATTAAGATTCAAACGAAGAGGCTGCTGCGTCTGAATTAAAATGTGTCGTTCCACACATTAATCCGATGAGGATGTTCATAGAAAATCATGTAGTATTGGAACGTTCCCATTGCTTCTTTGATGAAGATTCTACATGACGTCCCAGCTGTGAAGTATCTTTCTATTTCTTTTTTTTGCAAATTAATCGATCTCACCTTGAAAATTGTTATTATACGAGAAGTACAGTACAATGTAACATGTGCGTATGCAGTTCTTGTATCGAACAGTCGTACGTAGTCGTACGTGGATCGCATTGCATAAGATGTGCCTAAAATAGCTGCGTTTTACAGCCGCATTCTATGGACCGAATGAACAAACAGCACATAAACATTATATAGCCCCTGCTTTCTTGATTATGATCGCTCAAAACATGCGAAATATTCATGAGCTATAATTCGCATTGTAACGCCGATATTAATTTTAGAATAGATACATGACTCCCACACTCATAAATAGATACATAAGGTATTTATTTTAATTGTACACCAGAAAAATCCAATAAAGCTATGCAGCAATTGCGACGTGTTTTAGTATTACATAACTTCACGTAAGAATACCGATGTGTGTGTGTGTGTGTGTGTGTGTGTGTGTGTGTGTGTGTGTATGTATGTGTTACCAGCATCCAAAGCTGCTACTCTTAGCAATAAACTATCCCAATCCCAATATCTACATTTTAGAGTTAATTTTAAGTAATAATTGCATTGTTATTTTAAACTTTATATGCTATGCGCACACAATATATAGTAACAAACTTAGGAGCTTCAAAAGGAATTATTTGAAGGTGATAGACTTGCACCCTCGCCCGACTGAGGATTACAAGTTACTTTCTCGATCATAACGAACAAAATAACAGTGTCCATCTTCGAAAGAAACGCGATGCGCTCATAGAGGTGCAGAGAGGGGATGCAAGGAAGACTAAACGAGTCGGGTTTCTTTGGTAAGCAATCGCGTTATCGTAGCATCCTGTCATTATTTTACGATTAGACTGAACGAGGAGGCATTAGGGCAGTTGACAAAAAAAGGGCAACCGGTCTCAGCAGAAAGCGAAAGAAAGGTCGGGAGAGACGGGGAAAGGGTGAGAGTAAGAAGGAGTGAGAAGTAGTTTAATTGGTTGAGGGACGAGGAAGTTTAAAGGTAGCATTTTAGCGCGGAACCGCCTGGATTTGCCGCGGTGTTTCTCGCGGAGAGATATCTCGCTTTTCTCTCTCCCCCTTCAACAAAAATGAAGAAATAACGCGCGAAGTGTTGGCTCGAGCGTGTAATATAAACCTTAGCATTAACCCTTTACAAGCCGCCATTGACCACAATCTATAAAGCACTGTCACTATTATTTAACGTAATAACAAGACGAACCCTCGACGTGATTCAAGACAAAAGTAAGAAAATTCCTAAGTATAAGGCAAGACTTCAACAAACTCTCTACCCTTGAGTACAAGCTAGTAAATAGTGGTAAAAATTCAGTTTTAAGTGCTACGTTACAAGCATGTATGTGATAACGACGGATAGAACACAAAAGCGATTTGACAAATATTACTTAGCAAATTCCTTCAAATTCCTTCGATTTTTTTTTATACTTAATGCATGCATAGTTCTAATCTACAAGAAAAAAATACACTTATCTTGGCATTTATATTTTTTTCATTCATTCTCTAGCGACCAGCCTTACGCAAATGTAAATCCAATTTGAAGGAGCGATAATCACACTGTTAATGTTGTAATTATTGCTATAACGATGGACTACGTTCGACTACAGCAATAATTATGGAAACTGTTGATTATGAAAATTGACACGCGTTAATGTTTTTTAACATTCAAAATAAGGAGTCATTTGTGTAAATAATAACAGAACATTACGAGCATTGCACTAATGCTATGACAGCGACATGCAATGTTATGTAAAATACTAGCATATGATTAAAAGAGATTGGTAAGAACCAGATCGCTGTAGTGTCCAGCAGCGATTTGGCTATTTTTATCTCTTTCATTTATTTCTTTTTTTGATTATAATCTCATACACACATACACATACACACACATATATATTTGTGTGCGGCTATAATTAAAAAACCAAGAAAAAATATATATAGAAAGGAAATATTAGAAATTTCTCTGATAAATGAATATTATTATAAACTTTTCTAGTAAATATAAATATGAATGGTTACATGATATTTTCATATTTATAAGTAAATATATAAAATAATTAATCAATTTACCACAAAAATTCTTGGAGTAGTGTACTACTTCCGCTTCATTCTAGGATTATTCGAGAATAATGTTAGATACATAAATTATAACATCGAGACATTGTTAGCGTTACAATTATTGTTGAGGTAACCATGCGATTTTGCTGCAGACTATAAGATATCAGATTCACAGGAGTATTATCGAATTATAGTCCACTATTGAGTCAGATATTTATCACTGCCATTACCGCCAATTTCGTGCAACGCAAATACATTACTATAAAGATGTCTGATCATAATAATAACGCTAATCTGATACGTAAGATCGCAGTGTCGTCGCGTCACGTGATTATTAACCCAACAACTAGAAATTACGGATTAGATGCCTTCTATGCTTGAAACTATCGCTATTCAGATAAATATAAACGGCGGATGATTTATCTAGCACGATTATATCGTGCGACAAATGCGCGTCGTTAGTGTAGCCGCTTGTTAGTCGCGATAATAGTTCACTTCGTGTGGAACTGTATAAAAAATGACAGGCTCTATTTCCCTTGTAGAATTATTGATAGTGTCACATTATTGACAACGCCTTATTCTGATCGTGTAGAACTGCAATTCGGTTTGCATTAACATATGAAAGGAATGACGCATCACCACTCAATCAAGCCCACCAACAAAAAACTCTAAACGTGACATCTCTAAACGCGGAAACGAGATTGCAGTGATAAAATTCACGCAAAATCTCATTATCCCAAATTATTGTAACAATAATCGCGA